CAACTGCCCGCTTCCATGAGGATTCATCCTACTTTCCATGTTTCCCAGCTCAAACCTGTTTCTCGCAGCCCGTTGTGCCCCCGTCCGATCCCCCCCCCCCCCCCCTCCCCGCCCGCCGGAGTAGTGGATGGCATTTCTATCTATTCAGTCCGGCAGCTACTGGACATGCGCCGCTGGGGCCAGGGCTTTCAGTTTTTGGTGGACTGGGAGGGGTACAGGCCTGAGGATCAGTACTAGATTCCGAGTTCGTTTATTGAGGACCCTGATCTCATTGCTGACTTTTACAAGAGACATCCTGGTAAGCCCTTCCGGGGGCCGCCCGTTGAGGGGGGGGACTATTAGGAGTTGGTAGGGTTTCTCTGGTGTGGTGTCATGGGTTTGCTTCCTTTTTCAGCACAGGTAGGTGGGACGGTGTCTCACAGGATGCTGTCACACCGGTGGTACATCAGACGTCATTTGATGGAGCGTTATTTAGGAGCAGCGCGACAGACATCTGGTGTCGGAGTATTGTTGCCTCCCTGAGTGGTAACGTGTTTGTTAATCTCTGCGGTGTGCACTACAGCCAACCCATGTTTTGGATTTTGTCTGCTTACCTGTTGTCCTGTATCCTTAGCCGGATCCATCACCCGCTTGCCTGTCAGCTGCTGGTAAAGCCGTATTTCCGGGATCACTTCAAACATCAATCGCATCTTTACCTTCGCATCCTGGAGATTCTCGCCCAAACCTGTACTGCCAGTGTGAGAAGTGAGCTCTCCAACTCTCCCCATGTTTATTGCCGCTTTTTACTGATTGTTTGGTATCTCCAAACCGTCCAAAGACATGCAGCTTGTGGGGGTAGGTTAATTGGACAATCCAAATTGCCACTAGGTGTGAATGTGCGAGTGAATGTGAGTGTGAATGGTTGTCTGTCCCTATGTGTTAGCCCTGCGACAGACTGGCGACCTGTCCAGGGTGTACCCCGCCTTTCGCCCTATGACAGCTGGGATAGGCTCCAGCGCCCCCGCGACCCTGAAAAGGATAAGCGGAAGCGAATGGATGGATGGATGGATGTTTGGTATCTTCCCCTAAAATTTCGTTTTCCTTTTTCTTGTAGATCAACCCTGTGTGTGCCGATTATACCTTTCCCTCCGAGTGTGTGTCAGCCCCCTTTCCTGGTTTCCCTCCGTTTATTTATCACTGTACATAATCTCCCACCCTGTGTAAATAATCCAGACACTGTAAATAAAGAGCACTTTCTGCATTCCCTGCATTTGTTCTGCCATAGAGTCCATTCGTTCAGCCTAACAGACAAGTCCTGGGAATCTTTAAGAGAGAATGTGCAACTAACTTTCTTATGTATGTCTAATTGTGTGAAGTTGACACATGGCAAGGGCCATGTGGCAAACGAGGATTTTCTGGGGAGGCTTAAATTACAGGTGGAAAAAGGTAAAGTGATGGAAGAAGAAAATGAGATGCAGATGCAGACTGAGGCTATGAGAGAGGCGACAAGAGGATCAGTGAGGGGTGGAGACCACCTCCAGCTGACGACCCGCAGAGAGCTGGAGGTGGAGACCACCTCCAGCTGACGACCCGCAGAGAGCTGTACCACTGGGCTTCCTAGAGAGCATCAACAGGAGATGGTGGACAACAGAATGGTTATCTGAAGGATAAGGGGAGCATGCCAAGCTCCAACCGAAAGCACAGAGGAAGTTCAGGGATGGCATCATGATTCTGTAAACAACACAGAAAACAGATGCTATGGCGGTGACAGGAACTGACTGACGGCAATTTCTCAAAGATTATCACCTAATGTTTTTTCGCTGTGCCATACAGAGGTTGACACTCTACAGAGGGTCTTCCTTTGTGTCATTGTTGTTGTCATTTGCATTATGAACACTTCTACAAGACTGCTGCTGAAATTTTGAGCCATGGACGTGGTCATGACTCAACAGGAGGGAGCAGCATAACAGCAGTAAAACAACTGGATCCAATTTCCTTTTAAAAATAACATTGCTGAAAGATCAACATGGATTCACCAGAGTCACTGCAAGAAGATCACGCACCTTGACGCTGAGCCCGAGTCCAACTACAAAGGGGGAAGAAAGCCTCTAGGACCTTCCATCTCAAACCCGGTGAAGAAACCAATGACTCCCTTACCTTTAGTCAGCAACAAGGATGACAGCGTGGCTGAAAGTATTCCTGTTCGTGACGACAGCTGAAGCACTATGGGACCGAGGAAGCCACACTCAATAACCTCATGGCTATTCTACGAACTTTTGGTGGCAGATGATGAACACCACGGCGCACCTTAACAACAAGATGGACTGCTACGTATGTGCCCACATGCCACTATCCACTCACAGCTCTGGATTATGGCCGTATAACATTCTTGCTAACCGCATCCCAAGGTGGGGTGTGTAAGCTAATTGGTGAGACATGTTGCACATTCATTCCAGACGAATACTCCACTGGCAGCGACATCTATGAGGACCTACAGAACTTAACCGTGCTGCAAAGGCATGTGGCAGACCACACACCATGAGCCTCAACACAGGATTGGCTCGCATGGCTGACTTCTGGACCTTGGTAGCACATGCTACTGTAGATTGTGACCCCAGTATTTGTTGTTTTAGTTCTTATGTTTATTGCTGTGACCTGTATTCTCCCTGCATAAAAAGCATGATACAAAGGATGGTGACTAATACCTTTATTTACTACACATTTGCCCAGGAGGACCCAAAGAAGGACATGGAAGATTGCATTTAAATGAAGTAAGCATTGAAAATGCACCTGAAAGTGATGCTGTACTGATAATTGAAAACACAAGCTTTTAAAATGTCAAACAGGAGGGAATAATGTTAGCAACCTACAACACATACATTAAACCTATTTAAAAAGCTACACATTGCCATTTAAAAAGCTAGAATGCTTTTGTTTGCTCCCGAACCCAACAACAAGATCATGTTGATCCAACACATCTCTTCCTTAGGCTGACTGAACTGTGGGAGCACACTGCCTCCGATCCAGAGCTACAGAAACTGAGCACTGTCACAATGAAGGCCTGGCCTTGCAGACAAACTCAGCTGCTCACAGAAATTCGTGAATACTACCCATATCAAATAAACTCCCCCTTGACATTGTCAAGAAAGGCCTGAAGACAGTGATCCCAAAGTCTTTACAAAAGGATTAAATCACTGTCCTCCACAGAGGGCACCCAGACACAGAAGCTACTAAACGCAGGGCCCATGCTATCATGTTTTGGCCCACAATAACTGAAGATATAGGGCAAGAAACAATTGCGTGTCCGGTGTGCAACAGTACCAGGCCACATAAACAAAAAGAGCCACTCAAGCTCACACACTAGGTTCTCCAGCTGAAAGGCTCATGTCAAGGCAAACATGCACTATCATGCAACATCTGCTGGTTCCCAGGCCCAAAAGCAACACAGCTGTTAAGACAAGCCTAGTTCATAAGCGCCATGCACAAAAGAAATGCTATGACAACTCCAGCAGACCACTCCGTCCCCTCGTGCTAAGTGAGGTTGTGAGGATGCAAACGCATCATGGACATGACTCCTTAGGGACTAATAAGAAATCCAGATCATACATTGTCCAGTCAGGAGGCGGAGAGTACAGGCGGAACCGCAGGCATGTCCTCCCAGTCCCTGAAGCACCACCACAACACAGAGATTCCCACGATGACTCTACCGTGGTCCAACCATCAACCGCCTGTTCCCCAGAGCACAAAGAAAACGAAATCCATGGAAACTACATGTAACGTGATGTTGACAAGGTCAAATGTTAAATGTTTACTATATTCTTACCAATGACAGTTCCAGGTTTGAAGTGAATGGTTAATGTCCAGGCTATAATGTTGTGGATTAGAATCTGTTGTTTATACAGTCTTAACCTAAAGAAAGGGGACATAGAACATCTGACTGGTATTGTTTAATAATGGGGTTGAATAGGGTCCCGAAAAGCGCTATATAAATGCAATCCATTATTATTATTATTATTACCTGTTCAGAATAGTGCACTGCGCATGCATGCAGTAAGAAGACGCTGGAGTCAAGCTGCTTGCATGTAATGCCTGCTCAGTTACCCATTAAACAAAGCTTGCAAGGAATCACAAATCCAGCGTCTTTACTAAACATCAAACATTGTCCTTTGAGATTTTAACATAAGACTGAGGATGATATAAGACTAAAGATTTAAACAGTTTTAGATCCATTACACTCACTGAGCACTCTACAGCCTGGTAACACATAAACTTTAAATAAAAACTAGTGTAATTTGTTCTTTTCATGTAATAACATCGTTCACATTGTGATCAACAGCTAGATTCACAGTTAAGTAAACCTAATGAGGGAGACCATCAGGACCAAGCTGGGTTTCCTGGGTCCAGAGGTTTGGAGAAACTTCCTCCCTTTCTTTTATCACAGCTGTCCTGTGCCAGATGTTCTGTTGACCCACTGAGAGAGGCATAATTTCAGAAACATCAGAAAGACTAAAGCTCATTGCATAGATCAATGATCTTCACCATTGATCTCTACAGCTCCTTCAGAGGGAAATCTTCAGAGCTTCACTGTTGGCTCGCTCCAGAAAATGGATAAACCAAGTTTCATGAACAAGCGTGATGGACACCTTTGCTTTGTGTAATGTTAGAAGTACTCAGATAATCTTCAGAGGCTCTGGACTTTTACATAAAATATTATATTCAGTCCTGTAGAAAGTTATATATTTAAATATACATTATCCTGTCTGGTTACTCTGGAGCTGTACTTTTTCAGTTTTATGTCAGTAAAGAAGTTCAATCCGTACTTCAACTTTTACTGAAGCTTTATTTTAACACAAGTATCTGTACTTCTACTGAAGTAAATATTGCCTGTAAATTTGCCACCTGTGGTATTAATCTGAATAATACACTTCTGATTTAAGTCAAAATCAGAGCTGACTTTGGTTGCAGCTGATTAGCTCAGTGTCAGGGTTACTGGTTTTCTTCCCAGCTTGCATTTGTCCTACCTGCAGAGGGGGAGTTCCAGGACTGAAGTTAGGTAAATGGCTGTCAGCTCTCTGCAGAGAGATGCAGACCAGCAGCAGAAACACAGAGAATTCACTAAGCTTCATCTACAATTTCATCAGGTGATTAATAAATCTTGACAACCCACAAATGCCTTGTCTTCTTCTGTGAAAACAAAAGACTGAAGCAGACAATAACTGAAGAGAGATTCAGTAATCCTCTTAGCCTGCTTTAAGAGTCACATGACTAGAGGATGACATCACACTGACGCGCCAATCACTGATGGACATTTCACTGTTACTGCATCACAGTCACTGATGGACCTCTGACCCCCTTATTAATCAGTTGCCTACAGAACATCTGTTTAAATAAAGCTTTATTTTAGAAAGAGGCTTTATATGAGGCTCCTTTTTTCCAAGAAAGATGTACAGGTCTTTTTCTACACAGAACCATACACCTGTGTGTACCTAGGTGTATGTTTTCTTTCTTATTGGTGTTTATCTTTATTTGCTCTTTGCTTCACTGCATAATGAAAAGCAGTTTAATTAACTGCATTTTCATTACTTGCTGCAGCCCACTTCTGTTGCTGAAAAAAAGTGTGTAAACTTATTTTAAACTAAAACATTTTTAGTCTTACTTAGACCTTTTCAAGAATCCAGGGTTGTAGTTTTTGTGTTGAGCAGGAGTTCCTATCGGCTGTAACAGTGAACTCGTTGTATCAGCCCCTGAAGGAGTTTCAAATTATCTGACATAATAGATTTGGCCCACTGCTGTCTCAGGGAGTGAATGGTGAATGGTCACTGAAGGCAGCAGTGACTCTGCACACTTAGATCTATTTTGGACTCGGACCACTCCTACCGTCTGCTATGAAATTTATCTCAATGACTGGACTTCAGTTCTGCTCTTAAACCAAGAATGTTACAGGACTCAGAGCAGCTTTGAAGTTAATCTCCAAGAATGAAGGGACTAACTGTCCCACAAACTCAGAATACACCTAACATTTAGAAATTTCATGTACCATAATAATAATGTTGCAGTGTTCACACCTATTTACACACAAGGCAAAGTGTCATCAAGTATTTAAAACTATGATTTATTGGTGACACAGAGCAGACTGATCAGCTGAACACATACAGTCTTACAGATTTACACTGAATTATGTATTACATAGTATCAGTCAGAATGTTTTTATCATTGCACTCTGGCTTGTTCACTAATATATTTCTTATCAGGTTTATTGATTCCTCCTTAACTAAAACTTACTCTCTGCAGTAGGGGGTGGGGTCTTAAATAACTTTCAGCATTAGAGACAGGGGCGATTTTAGCCCATTTTTAGGGGTGCTTAAGCACCCCCAAAAGGAATCAAAGCACCCCCAAAGATTTCTTACTTTTTTTGACAATATTTGCTCTTTGTGTGACACATTACTAAAAATATAAAAAGCATACAGTACTGTACTTGTTTGAGACGTAACATTTTAACAACAAAAGTATAGATAACCCCCCCCCCCCCCCTCCCAAAATGGTTTGTTCCAGCTCTCCCCTACTCTGGCTCTAGCGCCGTTGCTGCCAGAGCGATGGTGGCTGAGACGCAGCGGAGTGGAGGTTTAAGTGCCTGGCTTAAAACAGGACATATTAGCTGCATTTAACCTTCAGTTACTCTTTATATAGTTAGGTAGGAGTCAGACCATGTTTCTTTTTAGCTGAAAAGCATTACACCAGGTAACCTGCAGTGTTGAAAACGTGTTTTCCGACAATGTTAGCTACCCTACAATCCGTCCTGCTCTGTAGTAAAATCAGCGACATTTGACCGTCCTGTTGCTCCCATTGAAATGTATACAGCCTATTTAAAATCTAAAACTTAAAATTGTCCGCAGCCTACTTTTGGTTACCACTGTCCTGTTTGAAATGGATACTAACTAGCTAACTGACTGAATGCCCATTAACCTTATAAACTCCTGGTGTGTGTGTGTGTGTGTGTACAGAGAGACAGCCAGGTTCATAATGGATATAAGGAAGTTTTTCCAAAAAAAGGAGCCACATTCAGGTAAAAGTGTAAAATCAAATGATCCGTCATTCAAGAATAATGTTGGATCAGTGTTTCAATGTTTATATCTTTTATTAGATGTTCATGTGGTTATTTGCCTTTTTGTTGAAAGTAGACTGAGAGAAGACTTTTTGTTAGTGATCTTATTAGAATTTTTTTCATATTAATGTAATTTTTCATCTAATTGAATACAATCTATTTGTGTATGATTGTCAGTCCAAAGAGGGAGAGAGGAAAGAGGGAACATGAGGAGAAAGTACAAGGTCAGGAAGAACCAGGTAAGAAAACAGACAGGGAACAGTGACAGGCACAACAGAAACTGTTAAACTGACAAAGAGAAAAAACCTGATTTTACTCACACAATCTGGAAGTTGTGTCCTCCCTATATTAAAGCTGCTATACAGAATCTGCAAAACAAACTGGGTTGAAACATTTTTGACCCTCTTTAACAACATTCCAACATAACATTATCATTGATTGGGGAGATTAAAATTAATGATATATTTTTATGTGGTTCAGCCACAACTCTACTAAAACCTCAGCCGCAGTACATACATTACATTTGCACTCTATCAGAAAGTGCCAAACAGCCCTGGTGGAGTGAGGAGCTTTAAAGAGAAGCAGATGCTCTGTTTATATTCTAAAAATGTTTTAAGCTTGTTTCAAAGATTCTGTACAGCAGCTTTAAATGTTTTCCAAAAGCACACATACACTTAACTTATCAGTGTTTCTCAAACATTTTACAGTGTGTACCACCTGAGAAAAATGTCAAGCTCTCCTAAGTACCACTATGAAAGCATGAAAGTCATAAATCTTACAACACAAAATTAGTATTATTAAATTAGTTTCTGCAGTAAAGATTTTTTTCATGCATTCTATACATTCTACCACAGGCAAAGTTGCCTCCATTTTTATAGTTTTTATTAATATTTTGTAATAATTTATTAGTAATAATTTATTCTGTTTTGGGAGTATTTTTTATGTATTTGTATTATATTATACATACACATTAAAAGTGAATATCTGTCCAAAAAATGCACTCAGTTTACTTTTTACTCACAATGAGCATCATTCATTATTCTCCCCCAGTAATTAAGGTTAGGATATGTATTTTTTTCTATCCCAATCCATTCTTCTTTTGCAGCATTTAAATAACCCTTATCAGATTTGATGGTTTTGTTACAGACTTTTCAAAAAAGTGTTTTGCTTTTCTTTCACAAATGTGGGGATTAAATTGTGTTAAAATGTACAAAACAGTGATGTCATGTTTTGTGATGAGGACCCAGGGACAGAGAGACTTGATGAATTTAAGAATCTTATGATTTAATAAAGAAATTTGCAGACTTGCACAGAGATGGTAAAATTATGATGACTGATAACGGAGACGAAGATAACAGACGATGAGGACAGGGAGGAACAGGGGTTTAAGTGCACCAAGGAGACAGTCAGAGAGAACTCGGGACAATATTTAAGGATGCAGGGACTGACAGAGACAGGTTTATCTTGCCTGGCTGGGCAGCTCTCTGGGTGCTCAGCACCCCCAAAGTTCTGATCCTAGAACCGCCCCTGATTAGAGATGAAAAAAAAAAAAAAACACGACAAGAAACCCATTAATTGATCCATTAATTACTTGCACATGGTGTTACTATTGTGCTCTGGATCTTCTGGCTTCACAGAGTAACATGAGAAGAAAAGCAGTTCTCACACTCTGAAGGCCAATTCCATCTTCTCCATCACTTCCTCTTTAAAGCTACTCTACCCACCAAGCACCATCCACCATCAAATCAGGAGACTGGTGATTATTATATGAGGTAGTGAAAGTTTGTTTAATTAATGTTGAGGCTACAGATGAATCTTTTCTATTCTGTGTGGATTCGCATGTTAACCCTCAGGTCAGACTTAGAGCTGAATGTTTTTCCACATTCTGAGCAGCCAAAGGATTTCTACCATGTGTGAATCCTCAGGAGTTGTTTCAAATTTCCAAAGAGGCCAAATGTCTTGCCACACAGGGCAACTGAGTGGTTTCTCTCCTGTGTAGCTTTTTTTGTAGTGATGGGTCGGTCGCAAACGAAATGGCTCTTAGAGCCGGGTCTTTGAAGCGAACGATGCAAGCCGTGGGGGTTTTTTTCCTTTCTCCTGCCCTCTCTTTCACTTTTTTTCGCTTCACGCTGCACGTCACTCTTGTGTTTCTGCTGAGCAGAGACGGGAGGGGCGCAAACATAGCTGGACTGGCCATTGGGCATACCGGGCATTTGCCCGGTGGGCCGATGGTAATTTTTCGTTTTAAATGGGCCGATGTTTTGTTGTTGTTGTCTTTCTTTTCCGTAACCGTGTAAACAGTGAAAGGTGGCGGATTGGACAGATGCTGGCAAACGTGTAAAAATAACTCAATTGTTTGGTAGTGGCTATGGTGGAGCTTTCACAGATTCAGTAAAATTAGCAAGTGGTGGAGGCCAGCAGGTGGATGGGGGAAAGGGGAGGCGGAGGAGGAGAGACCCAAGGCGGCCGCCGGTCCGACTGTCAGGTGAAATGAGCTTCAGGTAAGAAGTTATGACCTGCAGTCTATCTGGGTCAGATATAAACCAAGTTTAGGTGGAGTTTATTTTCGTTGTGCTAACTTTTTACAGTCAGTTACAATAACTCGTACTGCGTACTAGCTAGCATGATGGAGTTTCGATACAGTTGGGCGGGTGCTATGATGTTACTGGTGAACTTTATTTTATTCATAAGGTTAGTTAGTCGAGTTGCCTATACCTCTGGTATTCAGAGTTAATATTACGTGTTTTGTATTGAGCTGAAAATAAACGCGATTTGTTCTGTACTTCAGCTACAATAAAAAAAAAGACAAAAAGCTGGATTTATTCTGTCTTTATGCTGTCAGCTGCCTCTTCTCTCATTCTCCCCCCTCCCTCTCCTGCTGCTACTTCAATCATGAAACTGATCAATGATCAGCGTTTCTGCCGCAAGTCCCGTCTCTCTTGCTTGTTTATCTCCCGCTTTGTGCCAGAAAGAGGAAACTAGCGGAGGTCGCGTTAAACAGCAGAAGCACCTTTAAACTGACAGCTGGTAACTGTGCAATGGCGGGTCTAGCAAAGTTTTGCCAGGGGGGCCAGGTAGGGCATTAACAGGGAGAGGGGGCACA